TTATTTTTTGTAGAAATGATGGTTTTTAGAAATAAAATATGGACTGTTGTGATACATTCATCATGTTGGAATTGAAATACAAAAGCTGTTAAGAGATTTAGGATAAAGGAAGCACGAAAGACATGTTCAGAATAAAATCAGTGTTTGTGGAATAGAAAGAATGCAATTTTCAAGGGACATCTTTGGAAGAAAATTAATAAGACAAAATGGCTAATTGAGTTGGCAAGTAATAGAGGGAGCAATAAGATATTTCCAAAGCTTTTACAGGAGCTATCATTATGATGATACTATTGGATGTTTGGGAACAAGAGGAAGGGCATTTCTTTTTAGTGAATAAGCTTAGATAACAACAGATAGCTCTGAACATCTGAGTTCTAGTTCTAGTGGCCTATGTGGGAAAGTGCTACTATGAAAGAAACTCCCCTATACCCAGTCTTGAAAAAAATGACAGTTAATTATTATCTCTTAGTGATCTGGATGATACCTGGGCTGAACTGGCACTGTTATCAAGAGATGGAATTGGGGCTGAGGTTAGATGATGACTTGGGATGATAAATGTTCAAGATGACTTCCTCATGGTCATTGGCCTTCAAGAGGTAAGGACATAGGCTACGAGTCCTGATAAGACCTGGTATTGGAATAGTATAGCTTCCCCAATCTTTATTAGTTTTATGATCCCAGGCCAACTCAAACTCCAGGTAAAGAAACACAGACTCTACTTCTCAGCACTGGGGTATCAATAAATGTGTCTCTAGCTTATATTTGCCACAAGACTTTGAGGACTCACATTCAGAGATGTTTAGGAGACAATTATGAATACTAGTCTGGGTTCTCCTGAAAGTAATCGGAAAGAGAAATGTGACTGGAGATTAGCAGTCAAAACCACAGGGATAAAGTCAAGAAGTTATAAATGATAAAAGGATAGCATTATGAAAGAAACTGATACAAGGGAGAAAATAAAGCAGAGAAGCAAGGGACAGGGAACCAGTCTCTGAATGTAGGAGAGGTCAAAATGTCAGAAATGGGTGGAAACCAGTGCTGCCAAGATATTGGAAAGGATGACTTTCACAGAAATTCTCAGTAGACATCATAACTTCTCAGGACACAGCAGCAGCAGCAGTAACAAAGCAAAACTCCATGGGACTGAGGTCAGAAAAGGAGGACAGAGCATAATACTGCCCTTCTGGGAGGAACTGGTATTGGCTGGGCAAACACTCACAGCTCTGCCCAGTGAGAACACAGAGGCAGGGAATGGATTCCTGTTTGTTTTATTTGCCTTTTGGTTAGGTGGCTTGGAATGATCAGTGGAAGAGCAGAAAACAGGAGGAAGGAGATACGTGGACTTGGTTAGTGTAGGAGAAATCTAGTTTCTGAAAGATTGGGGGTGAGAAATGGAGGAGACAGGGAGCAGAAGCAAAGCAAGGTTGGTGCATTTGATATGGAGAGGGAGGAGGGAACTAGAATAGTCTTCAACTTTCTGGAGCATGGAGTTAAGGCATTCTACCCTGACAGTGGTCCTGGATTTCCCATTCTGGTCCACTCACACTCTTCTCTGAGAAGTCTCTTGATTTTCTCTGCTGTGAAGATGTAAACCCAACCCCTGTTACTGAACCCCTTCTCCTAGGGAGACTTTGTTGATTCAGACAGGAAGAAAGAGGACGGCTTCCTTCTCAGAACATCTGTAGAACATTTCTTTAACGTCTAACTCCATGCTTTGACTGTCTTATGTATTACGTTTGATGGTATTTCTTTTTCTTTCCAAGCTTTGTGTACACTAAAAATAAAACATAGCTGAATAAAACTATGATGGGTTTGATATGAACTTCTGTCTTGTGTACACAGAACTGGAGGACCCTAAAGAACTTAAGATAAGAAATTTGTAAGGAAGTTTTGCTTATCTGTTTGCATTATATTTTCTTTATTACTTCATTTCTAATTGTTGATTATAAAAAATAAAAATAAAATTTAAATAATGTTAAATATTAGGGATTTATAATTATTTATCATTTACAGCATAATTTATAAAGAGAAAGAAAGTAGTTGCCAGCAAGAAAGGACAGCATATAGTCATTGGCTTTGAGGAAATTTTTGAGGAAAAAAAAAAACAGGACTAGTTAGACTAAATTATTATCAAACCCACATCTGGTTGTATATAAAATGTTACAGGTTATCTTTCCCCTTTTACTATTCATGTTGATTTTGCTTTAGAGTTAAATTAATTTTTAAGACAATTTGAAGATTTTATGTAAAGTTATTTTCAGATAATATGTTTCCTTCATAAAGATATAGAAATTATTTGACAGGAAAATTTTATGAATTTAGAGTTGAGTTTGTGAATCTGGCCAATTAAGCCAAAGAGTGTAATAAAAATAAAGGGCCAAATAAATTAGTTTATTATAGCACAGGAAAATATGACACTGCCATATATAGTAGGCTTGTTTCTATCAGTGGATAAAATATGAAAAGCTAGCAAAGCCCTTTGCTACTCAGAACAAGATTTTAACCTTTATGTCTTCACCATAAATATTGTACACTATATAGAATCAACAAGTATCCCTTTTTATGGCAAACTGACCAAACCTTGGAGAGGGAGGAATTGTGCCTTCATTTTTGTGTTCCTGAGTTTGCTATGCCTTGAAGAGATGAGAGGTAAATAAGTGAATGAAAAAAATGAAAAATTGAAATACGTTTTATAATCAACTGGGTTATGGGTATCACATGTATAATGTATATAATTTATAATTATCACCCCAATTACTGTACTCTAAAAAATGATCTTAAAAGCATGAAACTTGCACAGCATACTAGAGTGACTAGGAAACCTCAGCTGCTGAAGGGGCTGTTAGAGACTGTGATAGAAGTACAAGAAAGATTTTCCAATATCGTCTGGCAGAAAAAGAAATATTGAATGTGTATATGTTCATCTTTGCTATAATCAGGAAGGGGCAGTGCACTAAAGCTGTTAGTAAATCGAGGTTCTCCGGAGACAACATCCTTCTCTCTAACGTTTAGGAAAAACAGTTTTATACATAGGAGAAGGCTGGTGGGAAGCTGCAAAATGAGCAGTAAGTAATTTTACTTGAAAATTTAGTTTCCATCACAGCTCAAAGAGACATAGCAAAATAATGCAGATATTTTTTAAAAAGCATATTAGTTCGTATCATAAGGTGAGTACAATATCTTAGAAACAGAATGCTTCATTCTCTTTAGTCATTTAAATGTTCTAATTGCTTTGTTTGACTTTACCTCGTAGCTGGATTTATGGTGCCTAGCTTGGAATATTCTTATGTATGCTACTAATTTCTCTTTCAGGGTTTAGAGTTCTCACTAATTATGCTGTAAATTGACTGCTGAGGACACTCTGTGATTCTACAGGTAGTGTCCAGCTCTTAGTATTATAATGTTAAAGAAGATGAAAGGGTCACAACCCAAGAGGCATTAAATCTGTAAAATAATAGTTAAAACTTGTGACTGATATTTAGGCATTTTTGTACTCCAACATACAATAACAAACATTATCAGCTCTACCGACTTTGTTCCTGAATTTGGAAAACAAAGGAGATCACAAAGAGAAAAAGTGATACAAAGCCACAAAAGCTGGACTTCAGAAACGCTCAGTCACCACTTAGCAGACTGCTGTGTTACCAAGACTAAAAACATAACAGGAAGCCTCATCAGCATTTAAACAACAGGACTGCACAGGACCCTAGCTGGGCATCCTGCAGAATCTACTCAAACACATCTATTCAAACAAAAAGCATAAAGAGGAAATGCGTGTGGGCATACATTATTTTATTAGTTATTATTGATTATTTGACTTTTTTCTATGATGCTGGAAATTGAATCCTGGGTTTTATACAAAGTAATCAAGTAGTACACAGCTGTGCTATATAAACCCTAGACCTGACACATCTATTTTTCAAGCATTTTGTTAACAAGCCGGGATTTAGAGGTGTGCATTGGCTATTGTCAACGACTTTCTGATGGGCCTGGGAGGCTGCTGCTCTCTCTCTTTAACTGGTATCAGTCACCCTGCACTGCTACAGACTCTTACCCTTCTGCCCCACTTCAGAAAGCTGAAGCTTTTTGTGGGTATCTCCAACTTTGCTGTCTGAAAAATTACAGGTGAAAAAAAAAACAGTAAATGACCACATCAAGTGATTCCATGTATATCAGTTATGTGCTTGATCAGGAGGTTCTTCTAATCATATTTAGGCAAAGCATTTGAGAAGATAAGACTGGGGGGGGGGGGGGTTCATGAACACAACTCCTCAACCCAGGCTGCCTTGATTCCACATCAAGGTTAGAAGTTCAATGAGTTTCCACTGGTGGAGTTGTTATATAAATTAATGCCATTCAGAATTGCTTTAACTTGCACAGCTGATTGAGAGATGTGTGACTAAGCTCCCAAATTGGCATCTGCAGCACATCTGTAGGAGCTGCCTTATCTCTCCAACACTTCCTTCTCCCCACCTCACTTCCTGTCATTATCACCATCCATTTCATCACAGGCCTTGGAAGTTTCTCCTTCAAAATCAAAAGCCCTTGGGGGAATAGTTAATGCTTAAAGCCACAGGTCACTAAATGTATGGAAGATTATCATGAGTCTTTTTCATTTCCATTTAGATTAAGTGAAAGCCTCTTAATTTGGGTCATAATTGATACATAAATCTGTAGAGAAAATGAACATGCATTTATAATGTAACCAACATTACAAGATTTATTGTTCTTATAATGTGTAAATACAGAAAGAAGGGGGAGAATAAAAGAGTCCAGCTCTCAGATCCCTGGGATATGAAACAGTGCCAGGGACTAATGAAGCAAACTCATCCTGAACGTCCAGCCTCCTGCTCTCAATGGCTCATGTCTCCTCATTTCAATCGAACTCAGTGTCCTATTTGAAATGCCGTCTAACATTAATCTGTCTATGCTATTCAACTGCCCTTTTGGTGGAAGGTTTGTGAGTGAGAAAATGAAAGGCTCAAAATGGATTTCCATACCTGATTGTGGACTTTGTTTGGGGATTTTGGCTACCGCTTGAGGGCTGGAAGTGGAGTGCGTTCGTTGGTTGGCAGAGCTGTGGATGCTGCTGGGAACCACGGATGACACATTCTTTCGAGGCTTCATGTCTTGTAGCCACATGGGCGAGGCTTCAAAGGCCTGCATTCTCCGCGCGTGGCTGTTGGCATTGACTTTCAGGTAGGCCTGGGCCTTGTGTTCCTGTAGCTCCCCGTAGTTGGCATCTGTCACCCTGCACTCATATAAGCCTTCGTCCTTTTTCCTCACTTTGGAGATCTGAAGCTTGTGGGAGATGTCATTGCCTTGGACTTTCACTGTCTGAAAAATTGCAGGGGAAAAAGCGAAGTTTTACACTGAAGGATTTTATTCTCACTCTCTTATGCTTGCTAATGTTGGGAGTAAAGGGTCTGCATAGCACAAATCTGAAGTCTCATCCACAGACTTGACAGGTCAGAAGCTCGTCTGAGTGGCCCAGCTGTCCACACTTCCCAGATTCCCATAACAGCTCTGTTCGTTTTTCAACATGGGATTGGCCTCTGCTTAGTTAACACAGCTGAATGAAACATTGAGTAAGGATTTCTGGAATAGATCCCCCCCCCCCTTTTTTGGTATGGCTATAAGACAACTCCTTTAAATCCAGGGCCACAAAAAATGTTGGTAACTTGGATAGCAATATTTTTCTTCTCAGTTGCCTATTAACGTGGCATTGCAGGGCTCAGGCTACCGAGAAATAGCATCTGAAATCAAGGCTCATTGTATATGCCCATGTCATTATACAAACTTGAGATTCTATTGATTGAACATTGATTTGATTTTCAAGACTGAAGTCAACATTATTTATTTTAGTTACTTTATCCCAGATTAATAGCAAGCTCACATGTCTAATGTATAATATTAACTATATATTATGTAATCCATGTGGCATATATATATATATTTATATATATATGTATCAGTTAAATTGGTATATATCATATGTTAATCCATTATTGACAGACTGAAAGATGACATAAATCTGTCAGGTTAAAGATCTGATTAAATATCTAAACACAGAAATGAAGGGTGATAAAGAAAGATATTCTAGCTATGACCATTGTAATTATTACAAAGTAGCCTCCTCTTCATATTATCAGTAAGTCAGTCTGGACTAACATCAAGTGTAGATTTATATCTGCTCTGGTTTCATATTTTTGTGATTTATTTTAATATTACATTTATAAATACTTTATTTGAGTTATGAATGATATACAAATTGAGTCATATTTTTATTCATTTGAAAATCCTATTGCAAGGCTTAGCTTTTGTTTTCCAAATTTTTTTCTATTAAGAATAGGTACTCCCATTACTTTGAATTATTAACATTATTAATATTGAAGTATTGCAGACCTTCATTGCTACACTTAGGTGACTGTGAAAAAGATTAAGAAAAGCAGCACAATAATCCCATTAGCTAGCAGATTCATATCCTAGCCAATCTGTAATTATTTACATGAGTAAAACATGCAATTTTATTTATGGACTCTAAATCTAGCTCAATTTTTAGGCATTTCATGAGGTAAAAAGAGACAACTGCCTCTCATCCAGAATTTATAAAATTACCTTTTCAGGCTCAATGACTTAAAAGGTTTTAAATCTAAAGTCTGTTTTCTATTAATGTTCACCTTGGGCCTTTTTGGCCATTTATAATGCATGATCCCCCTGTCCCTTATCCCTAGGACACTCACACTTATCTTGGTCCCGTCATTGTCCGGGTCTCTGTCGGGTAAGAGCTCCACCTGTAGGACAAGAGTGCAAATGCTCATCCGAGTTCCCCAGTCCCGGGCGTTACGCTACCGCAGCCGCGCAACCACCAGGAGAGATCCCAGCCTTCTGGTCTTGAAACGTTTCATACAAAGCAATTTAAGAGCCAAAAAGAAGCACGACCGCGGTCCCTACCGCACTCACTACTGAGGCCAGGCTGGATTGCTTCCCTCGCTCCTCCCTGAAGTTCCCCTCTCCCCTCGTCGGATTCCAAGCAGTCCCTGGGGTCTCCGTGTCTTCCCGGAATATTACTGTGGTCTTGGCTCTCCTAGAAAATCCCTAAGGTCCCTGTGGTTCCCACTGTCCAAGGGACACCCTGGAGAGTCCCTGTGGTTCCCAAGCATTCCTATGTTCACCACTGTCCCCGTTGTTCCCAAGTGTCCCTGAGGTCCCTGCGGTCTTCTTTATCCTAGCGACACCCTGGAGAGTCCCTGTGGTCCCTGCAGCCCCTCAGGCTGGGCTCCCTCTGGCTGGCCCGAGGCTAGAGTCGCTGCGAGGCTAAGTTTTCTCCCGCTCAGTGCAGTCTGCCCTGTCCGCAGGCTCAGGGAAGGGTGGGGACAGGCGCAAAACCAGGCTAGGACAGGACTGTGGCAGGAAGTTTCCCCGAAAAAATTTCTGCATCTCTGCCCTCGTTGTTGACCAGTACCCAGGTTCTTTTCAACAGACTTTCTCGTTTCTGTCCTCTAGGTCTCATGTCCGAGTCCTCTTTTGCTCCGTGGGTCTCTCTTTACCACTCTTTGGGCTAGGGTGCTACCCTTTTAGCTTCTTTACGCTTTCCTTGTCTTCTTGCTTTCTCCCTTCTAGCTTGCTCATCGCCGGCTCTACTTTCATCGCTAGTCCAGGGTCTCTCCCTGCTTCTCTGATGCCTACCCCCATCTCTCCCTCTCCCCAGTTTTCTCTCCCTCTCTCCTTCCTTTCCTCCCTCCTCCCTGCCCTCTCTCCCTCCTTCTCTGCCCTCCGCCTCTGTGTGTGTGTGTGTGTGTGTGTGTGTGAATAAGAGAAAGAGAGAGAGGGGGGGTGGGAGGAAAGAAAGAGGGGAAGAGAGGGAGAGGGAGGAGAGGAAAGAGAGAAAGAGGGGGAGAGTGGGAGAAGGAAGGAGGGGCGAGGGGGAGGGGAGGGTGAGGAAGGAGGGGAGAGGGAGAGAGAGCGAGGGAGGGAGGGGGAGAGAGAGAGAGAGAGAGCTAGAAGAGGGATGACTGGATTATTCCCCTTACCCTTGATGTCGGGGGGGGGGGGGGCGGGAGAGGGGGGGCGGAAGGGGGACAGAAGCAAGGCTGGTGAAGGGTGCCCTGGTCTGTACCAGAGATACATTGCCAGTTTGAACAGTTCCATAGCATCGGGTATTAAGAGCTGGTTAATTCCGGTCTAAATCGGAAAAGTACCCTGCTAGTGGGACTTCCTAGGTGCTTTTAACTTACTGTAACCAGAACAAATTCAGCCTTGCTCACTCTCATAGATCAGGGAAGGCTCCCTTGGACTGCTGGGCCCTGGAGCTGGTGAGAAATGCACAGAACTAAGAAAGCAACGTGCAGGGGCTCTGTGGGCTTTACGTCATGGCTACCTGAGAGCCAGCCGCCTCGGTTCCATGCTCCAGGTCCTCTGGTCCCCGAAGGAACCACCATTGGATCTCCAGGTACACTGAAGCGGAGCCGCTTTGGAAAGCACAGGACATCTCCACATTTTGTCCCTCGGTCGCAGTCACGTTCCGCGGAAACTCGGTAAATTTTGCTGCAAGACAGAAACGCATCATTTTGGCGTATCTCTACATTACCATCTTTGCCAATGTATCTTTCCTGGAGAACTCGACACAAGTTTTTGTTTGTTTGGCCTTTTTTCGTGGGCCTTGAAAGGTGAAAATAAAAACAGCAATAACAACCCTTCCGACATCTCCGCAGGGCTCCCTGTCCCCTATTGCTTTGCCTCTGCATGCCTTGTTCTTGGTATCATGCCTACATCACTTTGGTGTTGATCAAGTGCAGATAATGGAAAGGTTAACGAGCTTGCCAATAGCTCTCCTCTGCTAGCCAAGTTGCCCAGAGTTAGAGCCAAACATCTTTTGTCAGATTGCAGCATTACCTAAAACTTACTGAGAGATCCAGGGAGGTGCAATTTAGACCGTCTTTCCAGTCGATATACCAGAAAGCCTCTGGATTCTTAAGTTTCTAAACCCTCTATGATTCACCGGGGTGTTCCCTGTTAGAAATGGGGGGGGGGGTAAGTAAATGTCAAACCCCACATTCTTAATCTGTCAAAATAGTGGTTAGAAAATTTGTTCTGGAGCCCAAGTAGGGAAACAAGTTGCACACTACCTAAGAGGCGTATGGTTTCATCTCTGCAAGTTAACCTTCACGTTTGTTCCCTTCAAGGCATATAAATTGACATATGTCAGGGGACATAAAAGTCATACATCCATGTTTAGCTCAGGTCAAAGATGATTTGAAAGACACCATAGAGACTCTGGCTAACCCTTTGGCTAACCTTGGCACTGCCAGCTTGGAAGATTAATAGATCCGTGTGAGAGTCATGAAAATAAACCGCCCCCTCCTCCTTAGGGCATTCCTTGCACATGGGATGATGTGTTTCCTGCTAACTAGATGACTGTTCTTAGCCTGTCTAAGGGGCACTGTGCAAAGAGCTGATGGCTCTCTAGAAGGAGCTTTCTATTTGTGGTTGATAGAAGGGCGCAACCACAAGGCACACATATGAAAGGAGGGTCGCTGAAAGGATGGCAGGGATGGTTTCAGCCACTTTCTCTTCATTACTTAAAGACAGTGAATCTAGATGTCTCTTTTTACTATTTTATGAAATCCCCAAGGGGACGGATTATGTTTCAAGGGAATAGACACTATCAGAAGGCAGCCTATCTGAATAGGGTTTTCTGCTCACATTGGCCAGCAAAGTGGGGTTATTTCTGCTCACAGAAGTGATGCAGTCTCCAGGAGGCCAGAACTGTGATCTGCTCATGGTGCTGAAGCAACCACTGCAGCCTGCAAAGTCCCGAACAACTGGGCCCAGCAGGCAGCTGCTGCTTATGATGCAATTAGGACCTCCTTGTGGACTCTGGTAAATAGGCATTGGAAAGAAGTCACAGGGACCAGAGAAGGGGACTAAAGCTTTTTGCCTACAGGGAAGCCCCTTCCAACCAGCAGCTCTGCATTAGTAATGACTGTATGTGCATGAGTGATTGCCCTGTTCACGCACATGAAACACAGACACACACAGACACACACACACACACACACACACACACACACACCTGTGTATGTGCTCACCAAGGAACTCACCCCATTGCCAGTCTGGTGTCTATTAGATTTTCTTTGAAACCTGGTTAGCTTGCGATTTAATAAACTTTGAAGGAAATTTAAGGGAAGAAAAAGCCAAGCCGGACACTAGTCATACTACCTAACACTGTTGGCTTGCTTTGAGCCACTCTCAAGCCTTCTGTCCATTCTTCTAGTTGGTACAACACACACACACACACGCACACACACACACACACACACACACACAGCACCACATACACACTACAAGCAACGGACTTACCTTGAGAAGAAAGCCCTTGCTGTACATATAACACGGAAAAGAACACAAATCCAACAGACGCCAAAAAGATCCCCATCATGCCAAGGGAGGGAGGCACATCCGTGTAGCCAAGAGCCCCAAAATCTAAAAAGACAGGCAAGCAAGCTTGTTCAGGGGCTGCTTTCAGAGCCCGGGGCGCGACACTGCATGCATGCTGCCGCTCTCGGCGTAGATTGGCTTGGGCACAGGGGATTGCGACTGGCGAGGGTTGGACCAAGCTGGCTGGGATCTGGAGGCTTCAGGCGCAGACCCGGGCTGCCACGCTGCGAAGTGTCTCCGCCGGCGGCTGGCTGCTTCCGCTACCTGGCAGCTCGTCCCACGTCAGCCGCTCGGCTTGCGTGCTCGCCGCCCTCCCCACGCCCAGCGAGCCGGCGGCGAGTGGAGCGGGCGCGGGGCGGCGCGGACTGGGCTCGCGCGGCGCCCAACTTTGCCTCTAATGGCTGCGATGATGCCTTTAACTCTCTGCGCGCCGGGGTTGCGCACCTGCCGGCCGGGAGGCCCTGCCAGACCTCTGCGCTCCCGTCCGCTTTTATCCCCATTAGCGGGCTTGGGCTTCGCCGGAGCAGATGGCTTTGTGCAAAGAGGACAGGACAAACACAGGGTCCTGGCGTTTGCTCAGGGATAGGAGCAAGGGATTTGAGAAGGAAGTTGAGGCATTGTTAAAGACGGAGGAGGGATGGGATGGGTTGGGAGTGACTGCTCTGGGGCGATGAACACAGCCCTTGGAGGGAAATGCTGCTTAACCAGTTATTAACTGCTCCAACTAGAGCGATCACATGCTATTATTTCACCAGGATGTATTGTGAGCAGCTTGCAGCCCAGCAGAGGCCATTCGTTCAGGCACCGGATCACTCCAGCTGGCAAAGGGAAGGCACAAAAGTACTCAAGTCGTGTACTGAGAGAATTTTCCAGAAGGAAAAGTCTGCCGTGCAATGCGCAGCATCTTTTTTATTCTTATACCCATTGCTTGCTTTGCCTTCTTCCCACAGTATTTCGGGTGGGGGAGGGGTTTCGCAAATCATTTTACAAATCCCGCTTCTCAGAGAGTATAAATAAGGTTCTCTTTACAAGATTTATTTTTGTTTTGTTCAATTTCTTTAGCATAATAGTAATTACACAATAGTCTGTAGGATTATATGAATAAAGAATATTATTTTAAGCACCCCCCCTCCCAAACAAAGCAGAAATATTCAGTAAGTTTCAGAGCTTGGAACAAGACTAGTCATTTGTCTTGGGAAACCTTGAGATGTATACTGTATTTTTAAAATTATGGATCTTAAACAAACAAACAAAATCTGAGAAACTCTTATCAGTTCTTGTTAAACCTAACCATTAATTAATGACCTTACTTCTTAAGATTTATTTTTCATTAAAAAGCATAGAATAATGTAAAGTATTTTCAGTATTTTTACCACATAGATATATACCTCAGTTCTTCAGTATTAATTGGAAATATGTATTAGTTTTACTGTGCTACCAGAAAGCCAATGAAGTTTATGTATTTTCATTCTGGAAGTTGTGTTTGTACTCGGCTGATTCCTTTCCTGCCACAAAAACTTAACCCTAACGTGGCTGTAGGGTCTTAAAACCACTTGTCTTCTACAGCTAAATGCAGTAGGAACTTTATTAAGAAACTAAGGCACAAGAACGTCATAGAAATATGATTTAATCTGTGAAGATACAGTTGCTGCCATTGTGGATGGAGGTAGAATAGGAGAGTTACAGACAGACTTGGGGGACATTTTACTTCTGTTCGTATTCGCTCTGCATCTGCCTTGCAATCAGTGAGGAAAGAGGATTTTGAACTTTGTAATACTTGAAAAAAAAGCTTTTTTGGTTTTAAAGTTCTGTCTTGAAGAAGGTGCTCTATATACAAAAACTCAACACAGGTGAGGACAGTTCCTCCATAACAACTAATTTTTTTTAAAGAAAACAATATATTGCAGACATTAAGTGTTCATATGGCAAGTCCATTTTCTAGTTTAAATGTTTTACCTAACTTCTCATGTGGGAAGGAATTACAGGGTTGTAGCTTTCTTTACAGCATTTAGCATAAACAGTTGAATGTGTCCCGACTTCAAGGTTATCTGCTGCTGAAATAGTTTCCAGTACCAGTCAAGAGCACCCATTTTAAGGAGGAGGTCTGAACTAGTTTAGCAAGGCACATAGCTTTAAATGGAGAAACTGATCACTGGAGCTGTAAAAGTTCAATGGGAAAAGCTTGAAGGTGCAAAGAAAGAAAAGAGCTATTATTAGGCTGACAAAGCATCAAACTTCACGAACAAAAAGTTATAGCACTCATATTATGTAAAGAGGGAGCAGGGGGGGGGAGCGAAGAACAGAAAAAGGTAAAGCTAGAAAAAACATTAGATTCTTCTAAGACAATTGCCTCCTAGACATTTTGTTTTCAGTCTTTCCAGTGTAGGCCAAAACATTTTAAAAATATTTATCTCTGCTTCACAAAGAGTATAAATAGTGCTGACAAACACCTTTGCTTCATTCAGTATGATCATTTACCTTATAAGAGACAAAATATAAGTTAGAGAATTAAAAATGAGAAGCTGTTATTAAAACGTAAATGTTACTAGTAGAATAAAGGAACACTCTGAAACAGTCACTGTAGTACGCTGTATTTTACAAGATTGTAGGAAAGGCTGGTTTCCTGAATCAAGGTGTGGAATGAACATTTCCTTTCCATTCTTCCTGTCCCAAAAGATGGCTAATGTGTAGTCTTACAGAAATGACAGGAAGTGTCTTCTTAAGGTCACTTAACAGCCACTATTTTGCTTTCTAAATATTTAATCATTTATATTACCACAACTGTCCTCTCCAAAGTTTACACCATGGAAGATTATCTGAACATGTGCATCCTTGGAACGTAATTTAGCCCCTTTGCATCTTTCCACTGTTTTGCATTGGTCTTTTATTTAGATTACATTCATGTACTTTTTGCAAATTCAAAGTTGCTTAACTTTGTCTTTCAAACAAGGTTTCTTTGCAGGCTTTTGCATAAGCTCTTAGAGCTATTGATCAGTGAGACTCCAAAGGAAAGGAAGGTCTAAGAACCCTCTGGCTAGGGAACCATGTAATCTCTTCATCCTGAAAGGTATGTAGAGTAGTTTTCCATAGTGAACTTGAAAGGGTTCCCCGCATTCTGCTCTCATAGGCACATGATGCACTTATTTTACATTTTATACTTACAGTTATTTTTTTCGCCTAAACTGAGTCCTGGGTACCAAATGAAATTTTGAAAAAAAATTTGAAATAATTTAATGACAGACACATAGACATTTTCTTCACAACTAGTCTTTTAAACATTTAAAATAGCCACGTGTAGAAGCAAAGTTAATCCCCGTGGATTCAAGAAGATAAGCCTTCTTTTGCCTTCCTGCTGGCACCTCCCTGACTTAGTTGAACAGAGTACACAAGCTTTTTAGTTTGCACCGTTGAGGGTCCTCACTATGGTGTTTTGAACACTTTCTTTGGAGACAATGAAACTCCTTAAGAAATATTTTCTCTAACAATCTTATGCTTGCATTTATTTATTTCTTGCTTGGGAAACTAAAAGGAAGTATTACAAAGGTTGAATGTTGAAGTGTAATAAAAATATTTTTTTACAGAGAAATTTTATTTCAACTGAAGAAAATAAGAATCAAGAGGAAAATCACTAACTGAGAGCTATCAAAAATGAGCTTCAAAAATTTGATTTCCACTGAACTACCCACGCCAAGTCATGTCGCAATTAAACCTTCTTGGTATGTTGAAATGGAAAGATGTCATGAAGTTAGGAATGGATGGTATTGACAGAAAGAATGTGACTTCCCTTTCTGCACATGAACAGGTCATATTATCATTAGACCCGGGTCTACTTCTGAACTTTTGTGGATTCCACGCACTTCCTGCTGGACGGGTCCTAACACATGGCTGTGTTACAAAAACAAGCACCTGATTTATTTCTCTAAGATGCCAAGATCTCAAACATCTGAAATGGGTTTGGTTCTACAGGATAGCTGAGAAAAGGCCTTTAGAAACAGCAAGATTCTTAACTTGTCACTTGGGCATTCAAGACAGGGATAGTTTTCTTTAACACAACTTCATGTTGCCTAGTGGATTGAGCATTGTAAAGTGAACAGTATAGGAAGCATGAATAACATGCGGACTCTGGAAGACACTAAGCATGGCACAGGTGGCTCAAAGATGCCAACTGCCTACTGCACAGCTACTGCACAGCTACTGCACAGCTGCTGTTCGTTCCGATCCTCCAGGTGGTGTACTCCCCTTTATCTCTTCCTCTTGTACATGACCAAAATATAGATCTGGCTTTTGTGCTGGGAAATTCTGTGTAACTTTGTAATTGAAGTTCATGACGTTAGAATACAAATTATTCATGAGGTTGTCTTATGTCATTTTAGAACTGTAATGTCTGGCTTACAGGCGACCTCTGGAAAAAGCAAACAACTGAGTCACATTTTCTTTAAATGTTACTATCACTGTCTGCTTAGCTGCCCCGTATAAATATCATGCCTGGATTAATCTATTTCTTCATAGCCCCTCCTATTCACTCTCTTTTCCTTAAAATGCTTTTATAGGAGCATAGGTTATGTCTGTTAATCTCATTAGCAAAGAACTAACATCTTCCCTTCAGAACACCTTTAGCTACCAGGGGGAAAAAAGCTGAGGATTCTGCCTCTGAAGTTACTCTCTCAGGAGAGTTCCCACTTCAGAATTATCCTTCAGTAAAAGCTCAAAACTGTACTCAATACTTACTAGCTCCAACGATGTTGTTTTTTGGTTTTCATTTCAAATTCAGTGGGTTTGATTATATGTGAGTAACCAGAATATTCACCTAATTTTGAGAAACAGATAATTATCTGGAAATGAAAGCAAAGAAAAAAAGAATTGTTTTTGTAGAATCCATAATTTCCAAGCTTTTCCATGACTCTATGTCAATGTTTACAATTTGGATGAAAATAAACAGTAAGTTTTAAGTATGTTTATGGAACGACTTTTAAGAAAAAGCAATTTGTAGACATTTAACTAGTCTAATATTTTAAGTATGTATGTTTTCTAATTAAATATGCATTTTGAATGTCAGAGATCTGGCATTAAGTTTTCTTAATATGTGTTCTTTTATAACCTTAACAAGTAACATAAACTCTCTGGACCACATTCCCTGCAAAGAAAAGATCTAGTTTCACTGTTTGTGCTGCTACAATGGGACAATGCACACTATGGCCATGACTTATTACAGTGCATACATTAGGACGTCAGATTTCCTGATCATGGCTCTTCTATCCCAGGTGAGATGGTATTCAATTACTAGAAATGTTAGTC